TCCTAATGAGTTCTTAGGTCTTTGATTTCTATAGCAAGGGCTTCTCTGCTATCTTATATGCCTTTTTCAAGCTGAGCTATTAGTGTTATGACTGTTGTTCTAAATTCTTGTTCAGATATATTGTTTATATCTGTTTTGAGCAATTCCCTGGCTGTGATTTCTCCTTGACCTTTCTTTTGGGGAGAATTCCTGTCTTGTCATTTTGGCAAAGTCTGCCTTTTGTGTGCTTTAAAGGTTTTTTACATGTCCATCACCTGAGAGTCCTCCTATATTAAAAAGGCACCATACAGTGTCCAGGGCCTGTCACTCCAGGACGTGTTTCTGGTACATGATACATGTACTCTGCTGTTGTGTTTTGGCTACTCTCTCCCACCGGTCAGTCCTTTGCAGAGCTCCTCCTTGCTTGCAATGGTGGAGTGTCTGGGCCTTTAACTAGTGTGCTTTGATTTCTTTGCTGAAGTAACCCTGAGGGAATAAAGGGGGGGAGCCTGATGCTATAAAAAGAGAACAAATAAAGGGGAGAAAAGAAAACCAAACAGAGAATCAAAACGTATAAGGTTGATTCCAAGGAAAAAGAAAGGAAAAGAAAGAAGGGGAAAAAAGCAGAAGAAAGAAGAAAAGATGGAACCAGAAGAGAATAAAAAAAGCCTGATCAAAAAATATATATATGTGTGTGTGTGGATGTATGTGTATGTATGTATGTATGTATAGATAGACAAATATGACCCCAAAAAATCAGAAACTATAAGCCTGATTTTAAAAGGAAAAAAACAAACAGGGAGGAAAGCAAGAAAGTAAAAAGAAAAGAAAAGGTTGTCTGTTGGTGCCTGAGGCTGGTGGCTGTGTTGGTCTGGAGGAGAGGCTTGCTGCAATGCATCAGTCATACTCTAGTAAATAAGCAGTTGGTAGGCACAGAGGGGTAGGGTTGTTCTGAGTGTGTCCTGCCTCCACTGGTGACTGCTGTGCTGCTCTCTTAAGACCCACTGTGTTGGTGTTGGGAAAACTGAGGTCACACCAGTCTCTCCTGCTCATACTGGGTTATCACCCCAGCTCTTCAGGCAGCCCTCACAGTATAGCGAGGGCAGTCAGCTTGCCCTGCACTCCTATTCTCCTGTGGCCCCCCCTTGGCACTCTGGTAGGATTCAAATCCTGAAGTCTTAATGGACCCCACATGGTGCAGATCTGGAACCACTCTGTTCCTCCAGGGATCCTGCAGGATCCAGGCCTTTGGTTCGCACCTGCAGAGTATTTTGCCCTTAGGGAGGCAATAAACCCTCTTTCCAATTACTCCAGGAAGGGACTGTTCTTTCCCAGTATGCCCTGGAGATTGCTACACCACGCTATGCACTCCAGGGCCAGCTCCCTACTCCCCAGGAGTGTATGCCACGGCTCTGCTCCTGAAAAAGTCACACATTTCCAATGCCTCTGAGTTTCAGCTCCTAAGGTTGTGTACAAAAAAGAGCTGGCACTCTCCATACTTTGCATTCCCCAAGGTTTTCCTCTTGTGCTAACTCAATGCCACACTTTCACAACCCCTCTTTCTTTCTCTCCCTTTTGTCTCTCCATAGAGACATGTCTCTCTGCCCCTCTGTGGCTATGTTGTTTTATTTTCCTCCTTTCACATCCATGCACCTTGCCTCTGCTAAGCTGCCCCTCCTTCAGCTGTAGAGATCCTTCTGCTGCTCCACAGATCAATTTCCTGGGTGTTCCAAGTGATCTGACCTCAATACAGCTGTGTTTAAGGGAAAAGGGAAATCCCAGTCCTCCCAGTCCATCATCTTCACCTTGCACTTTTATGTTATGGAGATTGCTTCCTTCCTTAAACCTTCTGAACCAAACTTGGCTAGCTTCAAACTTTTCTGTAATTTTCTCACCTCTCTCAGCCTTCACAGAATTAAAGAGAGTAAGGGGCTTGCTCTGAATTAACTTTGGCTTAAGGGAATGTTGTAGTCATTTTGATACAGACCACTGAAATTTTCTCCATATCAACATATATCTCTTTACCTTTCTTATCATTCTTATGTTGAGTAGCGCTTTTTACTTCCTTCCAGAACTTTTCCTCTGCATTTATAATTTGGCTGTTCTGTACAAGAGGTCTAGCTTTTAGTCTTTCTTGGCTTTCAACATGCCTTCCTCACTAAGCTTAATTATTTCTAGCTTTTGATTTAAAGTATGAGATGTACAACTCTTCCTTTCACTAGAACACTTAGAGGCTATTATAGAGTTAATAATTTGCCTAATTTTTGTATTCTTGTGTCTCAGGGAATAAAGAGGCCTGAGCAGAAGGTAGAGACTGGGGAACATTGGTTGGTGGAGCAGTAAGAATACACAAAACATTTAACAATTAAATTTTCTGTTCTGTATGTATGGGCATAGTACATGGAACCCCTAAACAATTACAATAATAACATCAAAGATCATTGATCACAGATCACCATACAAAATATAGTAAAAAAGTTTGAAATATTGTGAGAATTACCAAAATGTGACAGAGAGATATTAAGTAAGCAAAATGCTGTTGGAAAAATGGCACCAATAGACTTACTCAGTGCAAGGTTGCCACAGACCAAAGCACAGTAAAACAAAGCACAATAAAATGTGCTATACCTGAATGTTGGTGCAGTTCCCAAGGCAGCTTTCTGGTTATACACATGTTTTTTTAGTCATAATCATTTGATAATTATTATACAACATTAGATACATGTTTTGGTGGTTCCTCTCGCTTTAAAGTACAACATTTTGTGTCATGGACATTCAGCAGCAAAGGGGAGTTAAAAGGACTATGGAGAACACAGTTTTTGGGACATCTTAAGCCCAAAAATGTACTTCTAAGTAATGTGATAGTAGAATAGTCACGGTTATCAAAAGAATATCTGTTTTGAGAACTTGTAGGCATTTCCTGTGTTGGCTATCAATGTGACATCACCAGTCAAAATCTAAGCATGGTTGAGGGTGCCTGGGTGGCTCAGTCAGTTAAGCATCCAACTTCGGCTCAGGTCATGATCTCACGGTTTGTGGGTTTGAGCCCTGCATCGGGCTCTGTGCTGACAGCTAGCTCAGAGCCTGGAGTCTGCTTCAGATTCTATATCTCCCTCTCTCTCTGACCCTCCTCTGCTCACGCTGCCTCTCTCTCTCCCAGAAATAAATAAAACATTAAAAAAAAAAATTTTTAATCTAAGCATAGTGCTCACAGATAACAGTGTAAATTGAGCTTTCTGTTTTATTTTTTTGATTTTTATATAAGATCTTTATTTTTTTTTTACAAATAGTTTATTGTCGAGTTGCTTTCCATATAACACCCAGTGCTCATCCCCACAAGTGCCCTCCTCCATGCCCATCTCCTCCATTCCCCCAATACCCATCAGTCCTCAGTTTGTTCTCAGCATTCAAGAGTCTCTGATGGTTTGCCTCTCTCCCCCTCCCCCGCTATTTCCCCCCTTCTTCTCCCCCATGGTCCTCCATTAAGTTCCTCCTAATCCTCCTATACGTGCAAACATATGGTATTTGTCCTTCTCTGCCTGACTTATTTCGCTCAGCATAACACCCTCAAGGTCCATCCATGTTGCTACACATGGCCAGATTTCATTCTTTCTCATTGCAATATAGTATTCAATAGTATAGATAAACCACATCTTCTTGATCCATTCATCCGTTGATGGACACTTAGGCTCTTTCCATGTTTTGGCTATTGTTGAGAGTGCTGCTATGAACATTAGGGTACATGTGCTCCTATGCATCAGCATTCCTATATCCCTTGGGTAAATTCCTAGCAGTGCTATTGCTGGGTCATAGGGGATTTCTAGTGTTAATTTTTTGAGGAACTTCCACACTGTTTTCCAGAGGGGCTACACCAGCTTCCATTCCCTCCAACACTGTAGGAGGGTGCCCGTTTCTCCACATCCTTGCCAGCATCTAGAGTCCTCTGATTTGCTCATTTTAGCCACTCTGACTGGTGTGAGGTGGTATCTCAGTGTGGTTTTGATTTGTATCGGCTTTATGTTTTAGTAAGTATTTTCTATATGAGAGGATATAGTTTTCTCAGACTGAAGATTAAGTTGAAAATTAATATTTAAACTTTTGGTTTTATGAAGAAGCATTGACCGGATTATCATTTTAATTATAAGGCCATACAATATATTATTAGTGTCTGTAGCATATCAGCATACGCATATCAGTTAACATTAATTAATTAATATTTTAAGTGTTTATTTATTTTAAAAGAGACAGAGCACTAGCAAGGGAGGGACAGAGAGAGGAGAGAGAGAATCCTAAGCAGACTCCTCACTATCAGCACAGAGCTGGATGTAGTGGGTCAGTCTCACAAATCTTGAGATCATGATCTGAGCCAAAATCAAGAGTTAGGTGCTCAACGAACTGAGTCACCCAGGAGCCCTAATAAACATTATTTTAAAATAATTTTCCATTTTACTTTAAATTCTAGGTTTCTATTTTTACTAATGGAGTCTTTAAAGTAAATTGAAGACAATCATTTAGAAACATTTTGGTATATGCTTGCCTACATTGTTGACATCACTTTGCTTATTCAATATCTTTCAGATTTGTAACCTTTTTAAATTTTAACACTCTATAGCTACTGCTTTTAGTCATTATGAGTAATCAAAATTAATTTAATATTATCTGTTTTCAAATACTGAAGTGCATATAATTCAGAAATAATAAGTCATAATTGAATCCTTTGAAAATAATAAGTGAAGAATTTAACAAAGACTAAAGACATTTGAAGTATTTCTTGTGTATGAATTAATTATATGAGTATAACATATATGATATATAAGTATATAAATAATGCAGAAATTGGACATTCAGGCACATGTATATGTTACATGTTTCAAATTCTGTTATAAAATCCTTAAAAGCTAAATTTTTTCAAACATAATGGAATTTGACAAAAGATAATTTGGAAATTACTTAAACTCTAATGATAGAAGAATGAAAATGATATCTAACACTTATAGCTACTATTTTATTTCTATTTTTAGATTTCCATTTTGACAGTGCCAGCAGAAGAAACAGGAACTTTAGCCGTTCGGGTCGTTGAGTTATGTTCTTCGACAATGACATGCATGAAAGGCACATGTAAGCATAGTATAATCTGGTTGTCTTGTGTGTTTGTTTTGGGACTAAAGGGGAGTAGCCATTGATAAAGTTCTCTGGTTTCTGTTTATAGTTTTGCCATATCGATATATATTTTTAAATTTATATCCAAGTTACTTAGCATATAGTGCAGTAATGAGTTCAGGAGTAGAATCCAGTGATTCATCCCCTACATATAACACGTATTGCTTATCCCAACAGGTATCTCACTGAATGCCTCTTGCCCATCTAGCCACCCCACCACCCACAATCCCTCCAGCAACCCTTAGTTTGTTCTCTATATTTAAGAGCCTTATGTTTTGTCCCCCTCCCTGTGTTTTTAGTATTTTTTCTTCCTTTCCCCTATGTTCATCTGTTTTGTATCTTAAATCCTAAATATGAGTGAAGTCATATAATATTTACTACCTAACTTACTTGCACCAAGCCCCATCACTGCACCCCGCAGATTTAGATGGATCTCCCCTTCCCAGTCACGATTGCCTTCCATCTGGGTGCTGTAGGATCCCTCGCCCAGAAGACCTGTGCAAACCCAACACTTTGTCTTCTGACCCACATGTTTTGTGGGATCTTAGTTTCATTGGTGGCAACAGCAAGTCTCATTTTACAAAAAGGCCACACACCTTCTGAAAATGTACCCCACCAAGCTGGGCCGAAATGCCATACAACATGCAGAGAGAGCCTCTGCAGACAACTAGACTGAGGAAAATGAGGCCAGGACTCAGCAACAGGGGATAGGCAACACACATAGGAACCACTCCCTGAAGTGCCTGGCAGTGGGCAGCAAATAACACTGCACTGCAGAGCAGTATAGAACCTCTTCTTCATAAGGTCATTGTCTTCAAGAGCAAGAGAAATAACTAACGTTACTAACACAGAGAAATAGACACAGAGGTAGACAAAATGAGGAGACAGAAATATGACCCAAATGAAAGTACAGGCCAAACCATAGCAAGAGACCTAAGCAAGATGGATATAAGGAATATACCTGACTGAGAATTTAAAGTAATGATTATAAAGATACTCACTGGACTTGAGGAAAAAGTGGAGGACATCAGTGAGACCCTTAACAGATGAAAAGAACTAATCATAGATGAAATAACACAATAAATTAAATTAAAAATACACTTCATGGGATAAATAGGAGGCTAGAGGAAACAGAGGAAGGAATTAATGACCTGTAAGAAAGAGTAATGGAAAGGAATCAACCTGAGTAAATGAGAGAGGAAAAAATGATGGCAATTGAGGAAACTCAGTGACTCCATCAAGCAAAATAACGTTTATATTACAGGGATCCCAGAAGAAGGAGAGAGAGAAAAAGGAACATAAAATTTATTTGAAGAAAAAATAGCTGAAAACTTCCATAGTCTGAGGTAGGAAACAGATATCCAGATCCAGGAGGCTCAGAGATTCCCCGACAAATTCAATGCAAGCAGGTCCACACCAACACATGTACTAATTAAAATGGAAAAGAGTAGGGGTGCCTGGGTAGCACAGTAGTTAAGCATCTGACTCTTGATGCCCGTCTCCCTCTGCCCCTCCTCCCTCTCAAACTTAAAAAAAAATAAAAATTAGCCAGGGTGGGATGCCTACATGGCTAGGTCGGTGAATTGTCCAACTCTTGATTTTGGCTTAGGTCATGTTATCACAATTCATGAGATGGAACTCCACATCAGGCCCTGAGTTTAACAGCACAGAGCCTGCTTGGGATTCTTACTCTACCTCTCTCTCTGCCCCTCCTCTGCTCACTCTCTCTTTCTGTCTCTCTGTCTCTCTGTCTCTCTCGCTCTCTCTTAAAATGAGTAAACATTTTTTTTTTTTTTTTTTTTTTTTTTTTAAAAGCAAGAGGGGCTCCTGAATGGCTCAGTTAGTTGAGCATCCAACTTCTTGATGTTGGCTCAGGTCATGATCTCATGGTTGTGAGGAGCCCCATGTAGGATTCTCCTTGGGATTCTCTCCCTCTTTCTCTCTCCCCTTTCCTTACTAGTTTTCTCCCTCTCTCTCTCTCTCTCTACCTCTCCCTCCCTCTCACTCCCTCCCTCTTTTTAAAAATAAATGGGCATTTTCAAAAAATGCAAGAGAAATGAAGACCATTACATAGCAAGGGAAGCCACATAAGGCTATCAAGGGATATTTTAGCAGAAACTATCCAAGCCAGAAGGGAGTGGAATGATATATTAAAAGGGCTGAAAAAGCAAAACCTGAAATCAAGAATACTTGTTCCATGGTGAGCACGTGGAGACTCAGGGAGAGTGGCGGCCTGGAGACAGCAGGGAAGCCATCCGCCCTCCCTCTAGACCTCCTCCTTTGTAACCCATCAGTCTCGCTATTCCTGAGTCACATCCTTTGTTGATCAACCAGTGATATGGGGCCGGCCAAGATGGCAGCATAGGAAGATCTTGAAATCACCTCCTCCTGTGGACATCCCAAATCTACAGCTACATATGGAAGATTCCCTCTGAAAGATCTGAAAACCAGCATAACAACTTCTTCACACCAAACAATAAAAGGGGCATATTGAGACAGGGATAACTCAAGAAGCAAGCCAAAGTACACATGGTAGAGAGTCCCAAACACCACTATGAGTAGGGAAATAAAAGAAACATTGTCTCAACAATAAGAGACCAAGAGACACCATTCAAAGAACACTTCCTGAATGGACAGGCCCTGGCCAGTCAAAGAGCCTTCTTTAATACAGCAGTACTCGCAAGTGCAGAGCACATAACACTCTTTTGAAACTAACAAGAGACAGAAAGCTAGCCAAAATGACAAATCAGAAGAACGCTCCTCTAAAGAAATTCCAAGAAGAAATGACAGCGAAACTGCTGCTGAAAACAGATATAAGCAACATAAATGAAGAAGGATTTAGAACAATAGTCATAAAATTAACCGCTGGGCTTAAAAAAGGCATGGAAGTTATCAGAGAAGCTATTGCTACAAAGACTATGGAGCTTCAAAATAGTTGTGATGAATTAAAAAATGCTATAAATGAGGTGCATAATAAAATGGAGGCATCCAATGCACGGATTGAAGAGGCAAAGAGGAGAACAGGTGAATTAGAAGACACAATTATAGAAAAAGAGGAAGCTGAGAAAAAGAGATATAAACTGATCCAGGAGCACAAAAGAGTTCAAGAACCGAGTGCTACAATCAAATGGAACAATATCCGTATCATAAGAATTCCAGAAGAGAAAGAGAGAGGGAAAGGCGCTGAAGGAGTCCTTGTACACATTATAGCTGAGAACTTCCCCAATCTGGGGAAGGAAACACATTGAAATCCAAGAGGCACAGGGAACTTCCCTCAGACGTAACTTGAATTGATCTTCTGCACAACATATCATAGTGAAACCTACAAAATATAAGGACAAAGAGAGAATTTTGAAAGGAGCTAGGGAGAAAAGGGTCCTAACATACAAAGGGAGACCTATCAGAGTAGTTACAGACTTGTCTACAGAAACGTGGCAGGCCAGAAAGGAATGGCAGGAGATCTTCAATGTGATGAACAGAAAAAGTATGCAGCCAAGAATCCTCTATCCAGCAAGCCTGTCATTCAGAATAGAAGGAGAGATAAAAGTCTTCCCAAATAAACAAAAATTGAAAGAATTCATCACGACTAAACCAGCCCAACAAGAAATCTTGAGGGGGACTCTCTGAGAGAAATGTTGCAAGGAACACAAGGTACCAGAGACACCACCACAAGCAGGAATCCTACAAAGAACACAATGACTCTGAACCCATATTTTTAAAAATAACACTGAATGTAAGTGGACAAAATGACTCAATCAAAGACATAGGGTAACATAATGGATAAATAAACAAAATCCTTCTATTTGCTTTCTACAATATACTCATCTTAGACCTGAGGACACCTCCAGATCAAAAATAAGTGGATGGAGAAATATCTATCATGCTAGTGGAATTCAGAAGAAAGCCAGAGTAGCCATACTTATATCAGACAAATTGGACTTTAAAGTAAAGGCAGTAACAAGGGATAAAGAAGGGCATTATATAATAATTACAGGGTCTATCCATCAGGAAGACCTAGCAATTATAAATGCCTACGCACCAATTTGGGGAGCACCCAAATACATACAACAATCACAAACATAAGCACTCTTATGGAAACAAATGTGCTAATAGCAGGGGACTTTAATACTCCACTTACAGTAATGGACAGATCAACTAGACAGAAAATCACTAAAGAAACAATGGACTTGAATGACACATTGGACCAGATGGATCTGACAGATATATTTAGAACTCTACCTCCTTAGGCCATGGAATTCACTTTCTTCTCAAGTGCACATGGCACATTTTCCAAGATAGATCACATACTGGGTCATAAAGTAGCCCTGAATAAACATAAAAGAATTGAGATCATACCATGCACACTTTCAGATCACAATGCTATTAAACTTGAAATCAACCACAGCAACAAGTCTGGAAAACCTCCAAAATCATGGAGGTTAAAGAACACCTTACTAAGGAATGAATGGTCTAATCAGGCAATTAGAGAAGAAATTGAAAACTATATGAAAGAAATGAAAATGAGAATACAACAATCCAAACTCTTTGGGGTGCAACAAAGGCAGTCCTAAGAGGAAAGTACATTGCACTCCAGGCCTATTTCAAGAAATTAGAAAAAGCGCAAGTGCAAAATCTAACAGCACACCTAAAGGAACTAGAAGAAGAGCAGCAAGAGCACCGCAAACCCAGTAGGATAAGAGAAATAATAAAAATCAGGGCAGAAATAAACAACATAGAACCCAAAGAAACAGTTGAACATATCAATGAAACCAAGTGTTGGTTTTTTAAAAAAATAAAATTTGCAACCCCCTAGCCAGGCTTCTCAAAGAGAAAAGAGAGAGCACCCAAATAGACAAACTCATGAATGAAAATGGACTTATTGCAACCTATCCCTCAGAAATACAAGGAATTGTCAGGGAATACTATGAACTATTGTATGCCAACAAACTGCACAACCT